CCCGATAAGATGTGAAAAAGAAATGACTGTTTTAATCTCAGTGTTTCTGCTTCAAAAACCAAAATGTGTTCTCATCAGAGCACAGAATTCCAAAGAAAATCAAGGTAGATTAGAGGCATGGACTTCACTTTGATTTACTGGTTTTGCTGACCAAAAAAAAAAAAAAAAAAAAGCAATTGGATTAATTTGACAATTCTTCCCTCCCTGGGAATCTCCCTTTTTTTCTTCAGGTTCTCTTTTACAATGAAGTTAGTTTAGTTATTACTTAGGATCTATGTATTCCTATTCAACATAGTTGACTTTCTGATATACTCCCTACCCAGGTATTAAGTGAGGCTAAAGGGGTTTGTTATTTCCCTTTTGTTCTTTGTTGTCTGTTCCTGGGAATGTAGACACACCTGTATGTTCTCATCCCTGAAGCCACTTAATTCACTGAAGTGAAACAGGCACCACTCTGGCATTTTTCTTTCCAGTCTTACACATTTTCAATATGCAGTGATTCTCAAGGTCAATATTTGTGAGAATTTTCTTTCTTAAACTACAACTGTAGCTGCTTCATCATTATCATCCCTTTTGGCAGATAGGAAATTTGAAACACAGAGAGATAAATTAGCATGTTTCAGGTCATACAGCTAATTAATAACAGTTAAGATTCAAACCTAGGCAGTCTGGCTTCAGAGTCTATACTCTTCTCTCTGCAATGCTGTCTCTCCTATTTATTTAGTTCATTTCCCTACATAATCAAAGGCTATGGGAAACAGTGAATTCCTGACATAACTCATGATCCATCAATTCTCTGTGTATCTTTGTGTTGAGTGATGTTAGCAGTCTTTGGGAAGGGTATTTGCGGGTGACAGGGACTCTCCTTCAGGTCGTTATTTGCAATACAATTGCTGTGGCCTCTTCAGAAATCTTAGGGGAGCAATTGAAGAAATTTACTAGAGTCACAAGTTAGTTTATGACACATGATTGTGAAATTTTACTTCCCAAAGGATTATTATACTCCTTGCTCAGGAGATAAGATAACATATAAGAAGTGTCAGAAATGGTACCTGATGGCACCTAATGATATCACCTGGGGTGATGTCACATTCTTTTTCCATTCCATTTTGCTGAAGCCACTTTGAGTTGCTGTCAGGGAGAGTGATTGGTATTTTCCTGTATGGAGGATGCTGGTCCAGAGAGCAGTGCGCTGTGGAGCAGCCCCAGCAGGGATGTGTGCTGTTGGTGCAGGAACTTCTGCTGTTTAACCTGGAAAAAACATTTGTTCCCTGTTAGAGGGGGTGGACAGGCCTATATCCCATCTTTAGGAATATACAAAAAGTTGATTGTTCAACCCTGGACTTCACCCTAAGCTACTTCTCCCTTAGGGATCTTTGATGTTGAATGCTGATGAAAAGGTAATCGAATTTGTGATTGTCAGTTCTAGGACCACTATAAAGAAATGAAGTGACTAAATGGAGCAGCATGAACATATGTTCCTTAGGATTCCAAATTCCACTGGTCATTTCTTCATTTTCATGCCCTCCCTGATCACCTAAAATACTTATTCCAATTTCTTGATTGGAAAGGCATTGCAAATGTTTTCACGCAAAAGTCTTGGAACTTTAGATCCTTTTTTTCTTCCAAAGATTTTTAGAAATTTCAAAGCCAAGGGGTTACAGAAATAAAATACACTTATTGTAACCAAATCAATATGTATTCAATTACCTTAATGTTCTGAAAACACTTATAGTGAGCAAATATATTCTCTTGGTTTGTATGCTAATTTATTGATTCATTTAGCAAATTAATTAATTGCTTATTGTTTATTTCCCCTACTTGCATGATAATATCAGGGATAATTTTTTTCATGTTTTATCCTTTATCTTCAGAGCATGAAATAGAGACTATTTAGAGGATAGACTGTGCTCAATACACATTGCTGAGTGAATACATGGATGGATTGTAAAAACTTAGAACTTATAGAAAAGAAAACATTGAAGCTCTAGAAATAATCTATATAACATTTAAAATGTGCTTTAGTTTAAATATACCTGTATAGTTAAATAAACCTGTGATTAAGGCAGTCCTTGCTTTATGCACTAGTGCAAGACTATAAAAAATGATCACACAAGCCAAAATCAATACAAAGCAATCCTAATAATCCATGGGAAAAGTTACCATTGTTCCTTGACCTTTATAAAAATTTCAAAACATTAAAATCTCTCTTGATGTTGGCTATAATGGTACAGGGAAATGGAAAACAATGTTAAAACTGCTATTTACTTAGTACACAGTAATTTAAGACATTAGAAACATTGAGATTAAAACGGTTATTTCTTTTTTCACATTTTATCAGGGTAGCTTGAATAGTGCTTGCCTTCTTCCTATTATACAACTTATGAAGTGGACCAAACAGGTGTTTTCCTTTTAATGCCTAGACAAATTGTCACGTTCTCTGTAGTTGGGATCAGCGTACAGCATTTATTCTTTATGCTTTTTGTGTCAAGCCGTGGTCTCTTGGGTTTCTCTAGTGTGAAGTTTTTTCCAGCATCATTCACTTCTTATAAGACATTGTCATCTTTTTCATCATGGCTCTTTTTCTTATAGATGTTGATAATTTGCCTTCACAAAGTTCCTTATATTCAGAGTCTCTTAAATGGCGACTGGCAACATTGTCAACATTCCATGGATGGCGATGTCTTCTGCAGCTCTCTCTGTGTTTGTTTCAGATTTCACTTCTTCTAACATCATCAGTTTCTTTGTTGGCTAGTTTTCTCTTTTGATGAGCCACATCATGTGTATTTACCACAGAAAGGCAAGAAGGCAACACAACTACATACTTGCTGTCTGTGTGAATTGAGTAACAAGCTTTTAGTGGCCAGTCACTGACGCATTGAAAGAAGAGCCATGGGGCTAGGGTTGAAGTTCAGTGTAAGAGCACTTCCCTAGCATGTGTGAGGCACTGGGTTTGATTCTCAGCACAAATAAATAAAATAAAGGTCCATCAACAACTAAAAGATATTTTAAAAATATTAAAAAGAAAGAAGAGCCATGATTGGTGACTGTTCAGCGCGCACGTTTGTTAATTAGGTAGTGATTTATGGACTGAAGAGCTAGCAGCAAAGGTTTTACTTTATGCAATTACAGTTACTATACTATGTTAACAGAAATTTGAACTGTGTTGTTAAAGGATTAAAATTATTTAACTAAACTGTGCTACCTGAAATACACACATGTTGGAACTGAGCAAAGTGAGGGTTGCCTCAATTTTGGGCTTTGATTTATGGATATGTATTGTGCACTTTTTCTTTACTAGAGTAGGGCCACTTTATGCCTATGATTATTTTTTTTTCATTTGATTTTATAGGGTATACATGTAAAAACCCTGCAATCTTGAATTCATGTTTTATGACTGCATGGTATTTTGCTATATATTTGTACCATGTTTAGTTAACCAATCCTTCTTTCTTTTTTTTTCTCAATTATGAACAATACTGCAAAGATCACCACTGTAGCAAAAATCTTTGAAACAGCATTTATTTGAAATGAATGTATTTTTATTGGAAGAATTCCTGGCTTATAAGATATACTTTTAATAATTTTTTTTAGTTATAGATGGACACAATACCTTTATTTTATTTATTTATTTTTATGTGCAGCTAGTGCCTCACATGTGCTAGGCAAGTGCTCTGCCAATAAGCCACAATCCCAGCCACCAGGATATAGTTTTAAAACATTTCCACATCCTTCTAAATTTCCCTTTAGAGATTTTTTTCCCATTTAGATTCCTACTAACAACCAACACAATTTCACAATTTCTAAACATTGGGCATTGTCATTCTTTTCCATTGTTATATTTCAACAGATGAAACATATATACTTTAATAATTAGTTTTGATTACTAATTAGGTTGAATATTTTTCATGGATTTATTTGCAGTAAATAAATTTTGTGCTGGCAGCTGGGGCCCCTTTGGCTGTGGCTCTCAACAATTTTGACCTTTCAAATTTTATTTTGTCCTGTATTTATATATTTTCAGATGGTGGGCATTTTCGTGTTTTATTAGGTTGTTTGTATTGAAATCTAAATATAAATCTACTGATTTATATATTATATTCATGTGTGTGATATACATTAATTGCATCTGTATGTATATGTCATTGGATTATTATTATAAAAGTATACATGGGCCTTAGTTTTTAATGTGACCATCAATTTCCAAATGCTTTCATCCCTCTCTTTTTTAAAAAAGAGAAAATAACCTACAACCTGGGGGAAATTCTAGTTAAATTTTCATTACATGATTTCCAGGAGATGGGGTCAAAAGGAGCTAGTAGGGCATTCAATTATCTGCTTAAGTGTGTTGGAAAACTTTTTCCCTCTCAGGTGTACAATATTTTACTTGGACTTGTTTTTCAAGTGCATTGAAGTGTGACTAAATATTTTTGGGTACTGCCATTATGTAAAAAAGAGACCTCATCTTGTTAAATATTCCTTTACCAACTTTGCAGTTTGTCAGTTATGGTCAGCGAGGAGCCTGGGAGGGCATGGGCTCAGACATTGGACAGAGGGAGGGTGGGTGGAAGGTGTGGGCCTAAGGAAAACCCAGGATTGGGGTGCTCTGTTGCCCCTCCCACTGCTACATGAAAAAAGTGATTGGTTCAAGATGATTTCCGTCTTATAATTTTGGATGGGTCATAAGTGAGGAAGGAGGAGAAGTCATGTGGTTGGGCCTCAGCACATCTGAGGGCGCAAGGTTCTTGGTTACAAACTACACAGACCTGGAGCGCAGTTCTTTTGGAAAACTGAGATACAGTTTGGACCAAAAGAAGAGAGACCAACTTTGAGTGCTTTTTGGCTTTAGGTTGGGGATAAGGGAGAGTCAGCAAGAAAGATGTCTACTGAAAATGTGGAAGGGAAGCCCAATAACCCTGGGGAGAGAGGAAGATCTCGGAGCTACACTTTCCTCCGGGTTGTCCAGCCAGTGTTTAACCACAGTATTTTCACTTCTGCAGTCTCTCCTGCCGCAGAACGCATCCGGTTCATCTTGGGAGAGGAGGATGACAGCCCAGCGCCTCCCCAGCTCTTCACCGAACTGGATGAGCTGCTGGCCGTGGATGGACAGGAGATGGAGTGGAAGGAGACAGCCAGGTGAGGCATGGCTGATCATATGCTGTACTAACTCAGGGAAACGAGTGTGGGGCATGATAGGTGAGCCTGCAGGTGCCTTCCTCTCACCTCCACACCCTGAATGGGCAATGAGGGTGGTGTTGCTGCTGCATTAAGACCCCTATTTCTTCTTTTTTTCTATATTGACATGGATGCAGGGCACCCTTCCTTTCACTGTTGAATCATAGTTTCATTGCCCTGTGCTGTTGTAAGTTTGACTTTTATAATGAATGAGAAGTTGATCTCAATTTATATTTCTACTTTATGGTAAAGTATTTTATAGAGATAATAAACTCAGGCACCCAAAGATGATAGCCAACAGATATGCAAATAACTCCAATTTATCTTGTGAGACCTTGTTTTATTCTCACTCCATGATAAGAGAAGCATTGTGAAGACTGTGATAGGAATTTGCAGAGTAGGATTTCAAGTAAAAACCTGTCATCTTCTAAACATCCAGCTAAAAGCAAGTAGAAGGTTCACTTCAATTTGGAGTTTAAAGACCTCAATTTACTTTTATGCTCTGTTTCCTGTTAGCTGAATGGTATTTAATTTCTTTGGTTTTATGCCAGATTCAGTGGTTTATGCCTATAATCCCAGTGATTCAGGAGGCTGAGGTAGGAGGAGTGCAAGTTTGAGGCCAACCTCAGAAGCTTATTAAGACTCTGCCTCAAAATAAAAAATAAAAGAACTGCATATATAACTCAAAAGAAAAAAAAAGAACTCTGGCTTCATTATCAATAAAGAGTAGATAAAGTTCATTGGATTAGACAGAGCAATGAAGGGAAGGGAGGGGGTGTGAGAATAGAAAAGTAGAATGAATCGGACATAACTTTCCTATGTTCAGTTATGAATGCACAACCAGTATAACTTCACATCCCGTTCAACCACAAGAATGGGATCCTAACTAGAATAAGTTGAACTCCATATATGTGTAATATGTCAAAATACACTCGACTGTCATGTATATGTAAAAAGAACAATAAAAAGTGTAGATAATCATACCTATTATGTATGATATGTATTTATGTTATATAAAATGTGTCATATTGGGACTGGGGTTGAGGTTCAGTGTTAGAGTGCCTGCCTCGCACATGTGAGGCACTGGGTTTGATCCTCAACACCACATAAAAATAAATAAATACATTTTAAAAATGTGTAACATATTATGTATAATTATATCATATTTTTATCTACACACACACACACACACATATATATATATATATAGATATGGAAATGCTTTCTACATTATTAACCACTATAACAGGTAGATAAGCTTTCATGAGTTTCATGATTTCTGAGCTTTCCTTTACAAATAAATTCAGTTACATATCCCAGAGTAAATCTTCTTTTGTGACATGAATAATTATGTGATATAAAGACTTTGATATAATGTAGTTATTGGTCTCTCATTGTTTTGTAATATAGAGATACCAATTTGTTTCAGTTTTCTAAATAAAATAATGTTAAGCTATGTTTTTTATAGACAATAATTTATTCATATCAATTCAATTCACCCAGTGCTTTTTTGAGTAAGTAGTATGTACCCAAGCACTATTTTATGTTCTGGGAGTGCAGTAGGGGAGCAGAAGAAACACATACAGTGACCTCTGTACTTTATTGAAAAGTTTGAAGCAAGTTCAAAATGCTGTGTTACAATCTGAGGAATACCAATCAGTAACCTGGTTTTTAGTTTAAGAGTAATAAAGCTAAAAAAGGCAAAGGTCTCCTGTGGTAATTGATGGAAATGGGACCTTCATCTGCTCTTCTATTCTAGATAGGCTATTCCAGAGTCAGAAAGAAGTTAATATTTTCATCATTATGATCAGTCAGAACAGATGAACTATAGAGAGCAAGCTCAATAGTCCCCCTTTTTCGACATCAGGGCTCTTTTAAGAGTTACAGGAAGGACTATTTTCTGAGGCATATCTTGAAAGTTTCACATATTATACCATTTACGATGAAGTCTTTGTCAATTTGATTGGGTTTTTATAGGTTAGGTACTCAGACTATGCTTTACAGATTTATGAATTTATTCTTATTTCCACAAATTTAAGTATTGCTGAATGTCTTCAGCCATTTGGTATTTTTAATGCTGGAGAGGTTTTGTAAATTGATTCATTTGATAATGATTGAGAGGCTTTTATTATTCACCAAGAATTTTGAGGTAGCTTGGACTTACAGACACACCTGCTTTTAAAAAGTTTAGTAGAACCCGTGAAGACTTTCTTGCTTTCCATAATTTAAACCATGGTCAGCAAAGAAAAAAGACATTAGGTTATTCCTTACCCTCACACAGTAGCATTAAGACAAGGGATCTGTTTTTCAAATATTTTATTTCCACTTAATGGGTAATTCTCCTTCTAATTGATATCTAGAGGGAGTGTACTTGTTTAAACTCGTCTGTTTAATACTGAATTAATTTTTCTCTTTTACTTACAAAGCTTTGGTAGCACATCTGTATTTTACTCTAATGCTGTCAAAGATTTTTCCTTTTTGCTCTTTGGGACCTCTTGTGACACAGAAATTGTCTCTTATTTCCCTTTTTAAGAACCAATAACTTGTATACTAAAAATCTTTAAAATATAATTTTAGTCCTTAAAGTATCCTCCAAAAAGAAGGCTTCAAAGCAAAAACTTTTACTAGTGTCTCCATTTTATTCTCTTTTCTTTCTTTCTGTTAGGAAAGTATGGAGTGAAACTTGTATTAGTGCAACCTCAATTATGTGTTGTTAGGTCTTGGTCTAGCCTTGGCTTTGCTGTTCCCTGATTGTTTAATTTTGAACATATCACGGGGTCTTCCTGAGTTTGTGTTTTCTGTTCTATCAAAGGATCATAATATTAGGTTGTAGCCTCTCTAACATAAGCATATTTTATTGCTCTAAAATTTTATTCAGATGTGTGTATTGTTGTAGTTAGCTGTGGCTGGTTTGATTCTTATTTTTATCTTGAAATTTTGTAGTTATCATAGAGTGCAGGGATTGTTATCTGTTTTTTATTTCAGTCAAAAGTAGACTGTGCTTTATTTGACAATTATCCTTAGTCCCCAAAGGGTGGAGAGGTTGCAGTTCATTGTATAGGTAACCCAGTGTTGAATGAGATGGGCTTAATATTTCCCTTTAAGATCATTACAGATTGAAATGATCTTGAGTTATTTACTACCATCTTTAAAGACTTTTTTTAAGCATCTTTGCCATCTTAGTGATGTAATCAGTTTCTCAGAGACTGTATTGGAGGTAGGAAGAGCATTGGGAGTATACTGTGTGTCAGGGAGAAGTTGTCTAGGAATAAAAAGCGCTCAGACTCATTAATAGCCCACACTTTATAACTTCTCATATGTAGTATTTGCCACAATTACTATTAATTAATTTTTATCACTAATTTGTGTTTTTATTATTTTCATCTGTTTTCCCTCATGACACTAAAGCTGGGGACTACTATGGCTGTTCACTATGGTGTTCCCAGTGCCTTGCTGTTCTTGATTCATACTGGGTGATAAATATTTGTTGAATATGTGATTAGTTCATAACTGTTTGCCTTAGAAATAACCACTTTGAATATAATGGTTTTTTAGACATATTAGTTGGCCAAAGTTGGAATTCTATTATAATTTGATGACGCTTGTGGAACAACAGCCCCAAGGTACCTAGCATATCACTGATAAAGCTCAGAAGAGGACCTTTGTTTAAAGTTTTAAACTACTTCATCAATGTGTGAATAGCACCTGCATTTTTATCTCTAAGCTAGACTTCTTTCTTTACTTAATTGGAATTAAATATAATTGGAACTATTGGGAGTCTCAAAATCCATGTTTCCAGATCTGCGGCTCCTACAGATTTCCCCATGTCAGTAAATAATTTACTCTTCTAGTTGTGTCAGCCAGAATGTTGGTCTTTTTTGATGCCTGTCTTTCCCTATACCTGCTATTTGATCAACTGGCAAATTCTGTTTCTGCCTTAAAGGTACTCAGATATTCAGATGTCTTACCACATTTCACCTTTAGTACTCCCATGACCCTGGCTCAGGCTACCATCTTGCACCTAGATTACTGTGAGTGGCTCCACCTAGTTGGTCTCTCTGCACCAGCCCTTACTTCCCTCATGAGCTGTCCACCCTGGTCTCTTTGACCTTATCTCCTGTTTTCTTTCTCCTTGTTCAGTCTGCTTGATCCCCACTGGCCTGTCAGGCTCTACTCTGTCAAGGACTTTGCCCTTGCTGTCCCCTCTTCCTGCCATGTACCACCACAGTTACCTGCAGAATTCATTTCCCCTCCTTCAGGTCTTCATTCAAATGTTATCTTCTCAGGGCTGCCCTATCTATAGTTGAAACTTTCACTCAACACTTCCTAGCACTTGCTCATCATTACTTTAGTTTTTACCACTTATCACCATTTGGCGTATTATATATCTTGTTATTGTCCTTTCCCAATAGAACTAAAGTTCTGTGAGGGCAGTTGTTTTGTTTATCACTCTATTCCTAGTGCTAGGTACTACCTGGCACACACTTATGCCAAGAAATATAGGTTAATAGAACGAATGAAAAGAGAAATAGAACCTTGATCCTTAGTTTGCTGCTCCATCTAAATTCTCTGAAGGTTTGGAAATGATTATGCTTCCAGAAATGTTCAGATTTTAAGCAGTCTTTACTTCAGAATGTTTTTTTGTGGTAATTTGACTTCTATTTGTGATGTCCATTTCCCAGACATGATAATTTATTTTCCTCTATTAAAAGTTCTCCAACCTACCAGACTAATAAAAAGCTATTGCTTAGAAGGAATTCATTTTATATATGAAGATGTGACATGAATCTTTTTCTGATTTTAAGTTTGAGAATTCTTTCCTGCAAAAACCTCAGTTGATAGACATGTTTTGCAGGGAGAGGGCTGGGGTTTGAATTTCAGGCTTCATGAATGCTAAGAAGGTGCCCTACCACTGGGCTACACTCACAGGTGATAGAATGTTGTATTCCAAGGAGAGCTAA